GCTGAAAAAGTAAATACAGGACAAGAGAATCTTAACTTCAAAGTGAAGAAGAACCAACAATTATTTTACCTGATTTTTTTATCGGTAAAGAGTACAATATTTTCACCTGATTACCACCCTGTTGAAGAGCTTCCACTTCTTGGGAAGTAAACTTAGACATGGAAACTGACTTCACACGGTGAGTAAACTCACGACTGCAATGATAAGATGAAACATTTTAACTTTCACATCCTGATGTACAGGACTTCAAGTTTACGAACATAATAGAAAAAACATCACAAACAGACACGAGAGGAACTTAAAATTTTACTTTACCACTGTTTTTATTTGGACAATGCTTAGACAACGAATTTAGATGAACATCACTAACCTGTTGCACCCTCACATGATAGTTAAAAATTAACACAAGGATGGACCTTTTCTTTTTTATGAAGTAATAAGAAAAAGGATGGACATTTTCTTATCACAAAATGCCAAACTAATTTTTCAGAACAATAGTCCAATAGATTTCAGACAGATTGACTCCTGAAGCAGCTAAAATTAACTACTTAGCTGCATGCATAACAGGTAAAATTTTGGCCTATGCATTTTGAAATTAGCTACTCCGCTGTAGTTAGAACATAGAAGTGCCAATGCATTTTACAATTCTGAACAGAAGAAACCCTCTTGAATACCCCCAGCAGCTTTCTCTACTTTATTTCTGGACTACGCTGAAAGTATAGAAATTGTACGGTATAGACATAAAGAGGAGCAAGACCCCCCCCCTCTCTCTCTCAAACCAGGTTCCCGTACACATTATGCAACTAAAGATGTAAAGAGCATGCAAAATGGTACACTTACTGTATTCCGCTGCATGTCATGCAGACAAAGGTCCAAAAGTTTGTGCACACATACTGGGGACCCTGCACATCGTAATAGATGCAATGATTAATTGATTCAAAATGAAAACGAGAGCCAAAACTATTGACTAAAATAGTGAACAGAGGATAAACAGATTGGTGACATTAGCTTTCTACTGTTCATCTCAAGGAACTACTCCTCCGATCCTTTTCCCGGTAACTATAGCCAATAAGTTTGTTCCAAATTTTTGTCACTTCAGAATACCAAGGCGGCATTATTTATTCTCAATTTCACTCTTACTACTTCAAGAAGGCATATAGTCATTGATTACTCATTTAAGAAAGAGATAAGAGTCGAATACCCCTTATAACTAATGTGAGTTTCCTTGATGGCATCAAGAGGATGAAGTGAGTACGAAAGAGAATGTGTTAACTCCTGTTATCAAATGGTTTTCTTAATGAGTGTGCCAAAACCTCTAAAGATAGATAAAAATGACCTAAGGTGTAATTTGTGCCAGTTTTTTGTTTTAAGTTATAGTGCTCATTTCTTTATGTAAACGCAAATATGAAGCAAACAATATGAGAATAATTGTAAGAGGCAAAACACCACTGATGCATAAGTACATTCTACTGGGAAAATATACATCAGTCATACAACCCATCCCGAAATTTGTTGGGTATGACTTGATTACATGAACCCCGTATACATTATACTTTATTCTGGTTCATTTCATTCCAATACATAAAAAAATCATCTTTTAATACAAATTTAACGGTCCAAGAAACTTAAGGTCCTCTTTTTGATAAAAAACTTAAGGTCCTTTTAATTCAACACTTGTATCTACCCTATTCACGTCCAGTTCATTCTGGTATTAAAAGTTGTCCTTTTAAGACAAAGTAGAGATTCTCTTAATGTCACACTTATCCTACCGTATCCACGTCTATTTCATTCATTACTTAAATCTCATCTTTGAACACAAAGTAGGGGTTCTCTCAAATACCTCTCCTCTACCTACCTTTTCATTGGAATACAAAAGTTTGCATTTTTACCTTATTCATATCCATCTCATTCTAACAATTGTATTTTCAAACAAATTAAAGGTTCTTTAACAAGAACAAAATGATGAACATGAAAAATGAAAGTAAAGTTGAAAATTAAAAGAAAAGATAGAGAAATGAATAGAATAAGAAACCAAGCTATTGCAGTTGATGCATTTGCGATTGGGAGGGAGCTTGAGAAGCCCTCTTATTATCTTCTCGTTCCTCTCTTCTTCTCTCCTGCTACTCATGCTTGTAGGTTTGTTTCCCCCAATAAAAAAATTGAATTCCCCCAACAAAATTGGGGGAAATTGATTGAAAAAAACCTAGGGTTTTAAGTATGGATTTTGAATTTTGTGAAGGAGGAATGAAGAGAGAGGCATGAAGCAGCTCTCGCTCTCGCTCTCTCTCCGCCTTCAGATTTCAACTTGAGGTTCTTTTTTTCACTACTGCTGTGGTGTGGTCTATATTCAAATTGCTAATCATTTCTTTTTAAAAAATCTTGTCATCATGTGTTTGTGTCGTTAAAAAACATCACAATAATACTTCCTTTTTTTCTTTTTTATATGTCACACTTTTTTTTATAAATAGTTAGATTTGTCATTTTATATAATCAATGCATAAATTATCATATTATTCCTATTATACTATTAATAGAGTAGTTAATTAGTCTTGTAAATATATACTTTGACCAAGCTAGGAAAACTAATAAGTAATCATATTCATTGGAATAGTACTTCATACATTGATTAATTATTCTCTCCATTCACTATTCTATAAAATTTGATTTTGAAAATAAACTCAAAAATTTAAATAGTCATCCAAATGCATTTTAAGTTTTGAAATCTAGCATATTCATCATTTATTGAAAAATTGACTTAAGAAAATATTAAATAAGGATAGAAGGATAAAGTTATTTAATTTTTTAATGCAAGTCCAATCACATATAATTTCCTAAGGAATGAAGGGAGTAATAGGCTTGTGGCCACATTACTACTTTCTCCCCATCTGCATATTTATTTTAATTTGTTTATGTTAATTATTTTCCTTTTTTTTAAGTATGATTTAAAAATTATTTTGATAATTTTTATTTTATATTTAAGATTATGAGATTAAAAAACATTATTTATATTTTGAAAGTAATTGATGAAAAAAGTTTATTTACTTTTTAGCAACTTGAATGGATGATATATAGTGTGCAAGAAAGGCTAACAAATTGTATTGTGTGAGAGAAAAGGCAAAAATGGCTCTTGGTCTAGTATTCATTTTTTAGCCATTTGATGTTAGTTTTAAAAAATAACCTATTTTCAGTTATAGATATACTTTTGTCTCCACTTTCAAACTTTAGGAAGTTTCGCCTCTTCTTTTCTTAATATGAACTTGAGGCATCAAAATATTTCAGATTCGGCCTGGTTCGATCGCCTTATCTAACTGATGCTTTAAAAGGCAAAATCCTCGATTGTAGTTGATGTTACTAGAGGCATTTAGTCTTTGATTAGGGTAGGAGTCCCGTGGGAACATTTTGTTCAAAAAAATATCATGAATTATCGGTGGCTAACTATATATATGAATCTTCAAAGCATGAATCTCACATTTGTTCGAAATCATAACTAAGGAAACTGTGAAAACATTAATTATAAATAGTAGTACTTATTAATATTACTTTTTTGCATTGAATTTGGTCGTTTAATATGTGATACAATGGATGAATGATGTGCCATCTGTTTTGCCTAATTATGTGATACCATGGATGAATGATGTGCCATCTTTTTTTGCCTATGGAGTTTGGACATGTTTTTGTGTTGTAAAATTTATATGTCCAATCTGCAAACCTAATAACTACTGTAATGTCATCATGGGTCGCCTAAAGGTGTGCATTCGGTTTTTCGGTTTGGTTTTATACTATTCGGTTTGGGTTTTTTGGTTTTTGATTTTGAAGAAGTGTAACCCAATCCGAATCAAAATAAATTTGGTTTGGTTTGATTTTTCTCTTTTTGGTTTGGATTTTTTCGGTTCGGTTAATCGGTTATGTCAATAGTTAGAAACATAACAAAGTTATATTTGCAATTTGAAAAAAATTATATATATATATATATTATTTATTTTTTTATTGAATTTCCTAAATATACTTTTTAATATAAATCACACGTAAAACACAATACATAAAAAATAAACTAAATCATAATGAAAATAACTGAAAAGGGACAAAAGTGGTTAAATCCAACTTAATTCTAAATAAATATATGTATAATTCGGTTTTTTTGGTTTTTTGGTTTTCATTTTTGTAAATCCGAAACCAAACTAAAATCTAAAAATCCAATCCAAATTAGAATTCGATTTGATTTAATTTGGTTTTTCGGTTTAATCCAAATAGTGCACACCCCTAATCTCCGTCCACAAATATATATTTTTATGTATATGTCAAAATATTGAGTGAAAGAGCCAGAGAGTGATTTATCAAGGGGTTTATTCAATACAAAAATAAAATATAATAAATATTGAGGAAAGCTAAATCTTGATAGATATGTTTCATATCTTTATAATATAAAAAATAATGTTACATCACTCATTCAGAATAATGGTTCTTTCGTTTTTTTTTTTATATATAATAACATTATTATAGCTAGGACACATTTAATCAAGATATATTTGTTAATCTTTTTGTTTGCTAAATCAACATGGGCTAAACGACGTAAGGTTTGTTGATAACTCCCGTACAAGACTGGAGACAATTTAATTATTGGAAGAATATATTATTGAGTTGAAATTTTGGCTTTTTTTGAAGAAGAGAAAAGTTAGGAAGTGTAATGCTAAACTTGTTTGATGAAGAAACAAAATATATGAGTATCGTAAAACTTATTTTGTACATGTCACATAATAATACACATGTTGACAAGGATATATGCATTTTTAAAAAGAAATAAATATTGTTGGTCAGTGCATGTTATTATAATAATATAAATATGGTGCACACATCGATGGAGACATAGTACTGTATGCCACAAAATGATTGATAGGAAACTCATTTAATTACTTTGTAGTTTCAAGAAGAGAAAAGGAGGTAATTAATTATGATTGGGACCTTCCCAACAACCCCTGATTCATAATTAACTAACTAATTCCTCCCCAGTCCCCACACACATATATATCAGGTTTACAGTAGTGAATACTCCTATATATCTTTCTCTCAAGTTTAGTTTGAAGAAGAAAATGGAGGAGGGGTTGTTGAAGAAATACGAAGAAGAAGATTGTCCAGGTTGCAAAGTTGAACAGTTAAAACGATCAAACACTGGCATCCCTGTTAAACCTGTCCTCTTCATCTCTGTCGTTACATTATGTGCATGTATGCCACTCTACAATTTTCTATATACATTCAATTTACATATACCATCTTACTCTCAGAGTACTCATGATTTCCATCGATATATAGGAATTCTAAGACATATTATTATGATTATATATACTTGTCCAGAACCATTAGATTTGGTTTCACATAAATCATTGTCATTTGAAGTAATTTTGGAGGTTAAGTTCTAATTCTATATCATTCGTCTACCCTCTGATCACGATTTTCCACTAACATATATACTTGTCTCTTCTCAAATCTTTTGCAGCTTTGCCGATATCATCTCTCTTCCCTTTCCTCTATTTTATGGTACATATCCATTATGTGACTATAAAGCTTGCATTATTAATTAATGTGTATTTAACTTTCTTCGCCTACTATAAAAGGTTAGTGCATTAGGCTGCTTAAATACGAATGAAGCATAATCAAGAGTTGCCTCTTTGGGCAGTAGCAGAAATTGTATCATGCCAAACTAGAACACGCGGTTAAACTAAACTATGAACGAAAATGTGGAGAAATCAACATTTGGTCAGGTACAAGTATGTGATGTAATGAGAAGCACCAATGCACTGTCTCCCTTTGCAAACGAAGATTTTTTAGTAGTAGTTTAATGTTAACAAAACCAGAGAATCCTACTTTCATTGGAACTATCAATTTACCAAACTCAATTTTAGTATCTTGTCATACATCAAATAACCAGATATACCAGCCTAATACATAGAGAAGTTTGAGTTGGAGAAACTTATCATTTATAGGTGACACCATATAGTACTGGAAATAACTTGCACATAGAGCTTCTCAAGTTATAACATTTATATTCTACTCAAGCATCTTCCTTGTGTCTTAGTCGTTTATAGTGTGTGATTCTTGATCTGCTAGTGTCTACACTATGGTTGTGGCAATATTGACATTTGACTCTTACAGGTAAGAGATTTTCACATTGCAGAAAGGGAGGAAGATATTAGTTATTATGCCGGATATCTAGGTCAGTATATATACCATCTGTTGTTGCTTCTGAGTAATTTCAGTGTTTTCCTTCTTACATGTCTACCATTTCTTGAAGGTTCTTCTTTCATGTTGGGAAGAGCTTTGACCTCTATTCTTTGGGGGATAATTGCTGATCGTTATGGTCGAAAGCCAGTTGTTGTGATTGGCACAATTACAGTGTTAGTAGTGCTGGTTAATCACTGTCCTCATGCATAAGATTTTTGTTTTAATATAAAAATTCAGCTATGATTCAATTGCGCAATTTCATTCAAGTTTGTTTATAATTTCTTATATGAGGAATCAACTGCAGGCTTATATTCAATACACTCTTTGGCCTTAGTACCAATTATTGGATGGCTATAGTTACAAGGTTCCTTATAGGCAGTTTGTGCGGGATAATAGGCACAATGCGGGTATGTCTTTACTGCTATGTGGAATTTTATGCCAACTATAAGCATCTTATTTTTCAGGATTGACATTGTGATTTGCATTATAAGTTTTTACTGGCTTGTTTAAACTAGTTTAGTACTTGCTCTTCTTTTCATACAATTAAGAGTATGATGAGCATTGTTACTGGATGCATTCAACTTGTTTAGTTGTTCAATATCTCCAGGCTTATGCTTCTGAAATTTGCCGAAAAGAGTACCACGCTTTGGGGATATCCGCTGTGAGTTGCTTCTCTCCTTCCTGTCGTCTCTCTTTTCCTTTTAACAGCTTTGTTGCATAGCTCTGAGATCCTATGCCATAAAATGTTTTTAAGCATCTTATTTATTTAGGTAAGCACATCATGGGGGATAGGCTTGGTGATTGGTCCTGCTATTGGAGGTTATCTTGCACAGGTACAGTACTTCCCATAGTGGAATTGTTGGTGATAACTTTTACTGTAGTGATGACTGAGAACTATCTCTCTTGAAAGAATTGTTTCATCTGACTTGATTTATATATGGCATTGGACGAAAATTCATATACTATTTGGTGGTTAGGTAAAAGAATTAGTTTTGGTCACGATGACTAGAAATTATTGCATGTTAAAGTTGCAGTAATACACTGCATACTTGCCTAATGTCTTCCCATGATCCAAAATGAAAGATGTGCCGAAGGAAATCCTAAGAGGTTCTAGCATTGCACTCGTGCAACGTACACTAGGTGAAACAATTGAATACTCCACCAGATATTGTAACCCTTACTCATAGTGATGAAAGTATCCAGGAACAATTTTCATCTCATCCATGATAACTGACAACTTTTGCATAATAAACTTGCTATCAAAACGACGCACCATTTCATGACTTGAACCTGAAAAGGTGTCCTACTTAGTGTCAAAACCGGCTTACATAAGCTTTTAGAAGCTCTACTTATTAAAACTGTTTTTCTAATTATTATGAGTACAGTTTAGTGACTAACAATTCTTGTGTCACTTATGTTGTTTCTAGCCTGCAGAAAAATATCCAAGCATATTTTCCAAAGAATCCCTTTTTGGGAGGTAAGCGACATTCTTCCTGTTCTGTATGTTTAACTACTCTCAACTTTCAATACTGAGAAGAATTTGGTCTGGTTCTATCTGGTTATTTAAGAAGTTTATTTGTTTGTTCTCTACCTTGCAGATTCCCATATTTTTTACCTTGTCTTTTGATATCAGTCTTTGCATTAGCTGCAACAGTAATGTCCTGTTGGCTTCCGGTATGACTTCTAGTCTTATATATACCTATTTCTCATTTTAAGTGCTATCTAGGCTTTCCTCCATAAATATCTTTCCTGTTCACATTTCAGTCGCTTAACTCGTGATAATATTCCATAGCTAAGAACATAGTATGTAATTCTTGAAAATGATCTGTTCTAATCCATAACATGAACTAAAGAATTTGACATAACTAATTCACTGTAAAACACGTAGGACCAGATTTTAATAACTGAAACAGTTTCTGCAGTTTGACTACTTCTAACATGTTGCAGGAAACACTTCACAAGCATAACAAAATAAAGAAAGATAAAAATAACTTTCAAGATGCTGTTGAAGGAACTTCAGATGAATCAAATGGCTTAAATGTGTCTCAGAACACAAACCATTCTGAACGCATAGCCCCTAGTTCTCAAAAAAGCCTTCTGAAGAATTGGCCCTTAGTGTCTTCTATTATTGTCTACTGTGTATTTCAGCTCCACGATATAGCCTATTTGGAGGTGATGTATCTTTCTTTCAAAAATCATTTTGATGGGAAAACTGGAAATCTAAGGAACCTTCTGGAGAATTGATCCTTAGCTTGAACAAACTTGTCAATATATCTTACCGTCGTGTGCTTTTTCAGATATTTTCACTCTGGGCTGTTAGTCCAAGGACCCTTGGGGGTTTAAGCTTCACAACTTCTGATGTTGGACAAGTTCTTGCCATCACAGGTATAAAGACATTGCCCAAATCTCTGCAGAACAATTTGCCTTGTGTTTTCTAAAGCTTTTTAGGCAGACTTTATTGGAAAATTGTGCATCTTTTAATCTGAAATTACTATTAATGTTTTGCATGATCCTACAGGCCTTGGTTTGCTACTCTTTCAGCTGCTTGTTTATCCACTGGTGGAAAGGATTACTGGGCCTGTCATGATTTCTCGGATCGGCGCAGTATGCCCATGACTAAACTGACAAATCACTTATATAATTACCACTTCCTATAAAGTTATCTTTTCACTGTTAGATTATATTGAACTTACTTATCTTTCAGGTTTTAAGCATACCATTGTTGGCTAGCTACCCATATATAGCTTTATTAACTGGTTTTGGCCTCTCCATAGCTCTCAGCTGTGCATCTATGTTAAAGAATATTCTCTCGGTAAGAACTTTTCCTTAGATCATTGAGTTCTTCAGCTTCATGAAGTTATTGATTGATAAAAATTCAATGTGGTGCTTTTGTGAATATCCAGGAATAGTTGCTAATGTCCTTTGTTTTCCCTTTTTTGAATTTAAAATGTTTTTACTTACACACCATGATTCACAAAAATCAATGGTGCATGATGAAGAGGAGAAAGAAATGACCTATAATATTTTGCTTCATTCATCTTTGCAGCTCTTTTTTCAAGTTTATGTTAGATTTTATGCTTTGTTACTGAATGTCTAAGATTCTTAGTTGAATGTAAATGAGTTGTATCTTAATTTTCTGGTTCATGATATCTCCTATTTCCTATACATGAAAATTATGAGTAATATATATATATGTATTTTTCTTACTGCTGCAAACACTTAATCTTAGTTCTTTTATGCGAGAAGTGAGGTTAATTTAGCACCAGAATACCTGTTCAATTACCTTTGTTTGGATTTTGCAGTGTTAGTATCTCGAAGTTGTTTGTTTGGTCTAAGTGGTTATTTTTTATATTTGATCAGGTATCAATTACAACTGGCTTACTAATCATGCAGAATAGAGCTGTGGTAACTACCTTATACCATAAGCACTTTTTTTTCCTTATTATCCATATAATAATTGTGATCAGTAAAGTTCATGTGTGAGTAAAATGTTTAACTTCAGTCCCAGGATCAAAGAGGAGCTGCAAATGGCATTTCGATGTCCTCAATGTCTCTTTTCAAGACAATTGGCCCTGCAGCCGGGGGCTCATTGTAAGTTGTTAATTTCTCTTTATCGTCTGCTGATCTTCAAGGTCATTTCTGTGCTTGTCACTTGAATTTGCCCTTGTTTGGTATTTGATCATTGGCTCGAAGCATTTTCTCTGCCCCTTTTTACCCTGAAAAGGCAGGTACACCTTACGTTCTTGAACCGATAACCATCTTTCGGCTAACCTAGCCTCCTCCGTCCCTCGGGACTAACAAGGGGTAGTACAGGAATATTCACCTTTCAGCCTGATCTTAGCAGTGGACGAACCCTTAGGTTTTGGGGGCATTGGATTCTCACCAATGTTTGCGTTACTCAAGCCAACACCATTAAACAAACTTAGTACCATATATATGTCATGCAAATGAATGTAATGATAAGTACTTCATGTTTGGCCTGGATCTGAGATTAACTTGGTATATTTGAAAATGCTAGAGTGGCGTAGTGATGTCCATTTTCAGTTTTAGTGAATAGGGGATTTTGTCTATTGAAAATGTATATGATGTTTGTTTAACTCGAAAGTTAAGGTCTACTGTCTATCAATCTAGAAGACAAGATTATGTATCATCACACTTTTATGATCTGCAGATTGTCCTGGTCACAACGGCGTCAAGATGCTGATATTCTGCCTGGTAAGTTAATTAGATTCAAACTTGAAGCTTGTGATCTTACTCACTACTTAAAATTCAAGTGTCAAAACATTTAGTAGCTTACAACAAACATCAATTCCTGATGGCTCTCTCTACTTTGATGCACTTGAATACAAAAGTTAAGCCCAACAAACTAAACAAAAGGCAATGTGATGTTGTAATACAGGTGATCAGTTGGTGTTCTTTGCTCTCAACGCCATTGAGTTGCTCGGCCTACTTCTGACCCTCAGACCCTTTCTGCAAGAACCTGAAGACAGCGATAATATTCCAAAATCAAAACACAACTCTTTGGATCAAGAAAATGGAATGCAAGAGAGGCTTGTTAACACGGAATTACCCTGAAGTACCAACATTACAAGTTAGATGAATATCATCTTCAAAGAGTTGAACTAAAGCTCGTGAACAAATTCTCTCAGGATGATTGATTGTAAACCTTAATATCCACCATAATACAGATTTATGTATGTAATGTAATGGAGAGTGAAAGTTGCAGTTTTTAGGTGTATCTTAGAAAAATAAATAAATGAATGTTTTTGAGCCTTATAAATTATGTGCAAGTTGAATCATAGAATACAAAATCAGGTGAAAAGAAGTGGATTTGCGGAATGCCACACAGTTTTGGAGTATTAATCGGCTTGACTGTACTACTCTTCGAGAGGAACCATAATTGTTGATGTTTGGAGAGTCGAGTAAACTTTTTCTTTGTCAATGAGCTTATAAGCATTTTAAAATTAGTTTAAACATAAAAAATTATGACTTATAATACTTTATATGTTATGTAAATTAATTTTAAAAAATAAGAAATTAATGCTCAAATTTCTTATGATAAAAGGAATATTGACATTTGCTAGTATAATAATGACAAAAATAAAAGCAAAAAATATATATAAAATGAAGATTCATTGTATTTTTTTTACATGTACAACTATTAATTTTTACCTAAATAAACATGTACATAATTACTACAACTATTAATTTTTACCTAAATAAAAAACATAGGGATAAGGGTTTGAAAAATACCTCAACTTTGATCGAATTTGCTGTTGCAATACTAAACTTTCATGAGAACCTATTATCTCCTTGGACTATTTAATACCGTATTTTAAACATATATATTTGCCCACGTGGACATAAAAAATAATGCAAAATTATAAATAGTAATGTGTCCACGTAGGCACATATTAACCTTTAAAATACACTATTAAATAGTTCAGGGGGTAAAAAATACGGTATTAAATAGTTTAGGGAGGTAATAAGTCCTTATGAAAGTTTAGTATCGCAACAGCAAATCCGACCAAAGTTGGGGTATTTTTCAGACCCTTATCCCGAAAGTGTTCACAATTTCTTTGTAAAATTTCCAAATTTTTTTTAAGAAGTGAATTGTGTGTTTAAAGTAAAATGATCAACTAATATGAGACGAAAGGAGTATTGTTTATATGTATGTTGATGCATTAATCTTAGACGCTAACGACATAATAATTGTTGAAGAAATAAAAATAGACGCCAACATAATAGTTACTATTAAACATTACAGTAAGCCTCCCATCAAATAAATAAATAAATGAATAAAAATTTGAGCATAGCTTAATAACACGGTATAAAATTTTAAATCATGTTCATAATACAAAAACTTTATCATCCCCATTTTGAAACAAAAAATCTAGGTCCATACTAGTAGATAGTAGAAGAAAATAATGTCTTTTTTTTCTTTTGAATATATGAATAAGGAAAAAGTGAGAGATGGCAAATCCAAGGAGGACATCATTTTCCCCTTCCGGTAACCAGAACCACCAGCAACTTCCAATTTCCACCTCCCCATTTCAGAATCAGAATCAGAATCAGGGAACCCAAATCTCAAGTTTGATGAACTCACTCAAATCCTTCCTCAAGAAACCCCATGCTTTCCCTTTTCTCCTCTCGCTCTTCCTTTTTCTCACATGGGTTTCACTCAGATTCCAACGTCCTTCAACTTCTACCCCTCACCGAGAAGAGTGGCATGCTAAGGTTCAATCTGGGTCCGATCAAAATGCTAACCTTGTCAGGTTCTTAGATTCCTCTTCTTCTATTGCCAAAGATAAACGTGGCTGGTTGATCAATCCTATTTCCCTTGCCCTCGATTCTGCCATTTCAGGTCTCTCTTTACCCATCTTTCTTTCTTCGTTCTTCAAATATTATATTATAGAATATGCGTGCTCCTGACCTAATAAATGGAACATGGGTGGTAGCTGCATTACTGCCTATGCTGGCCTGCAACCCCCTTCTCCTCGAATCCTATTAGGTTCATCTGGACTGATGAAGAGTAATTAAAGCAAGAAGGAAAATTAAGCATTTTGGGGCAGATAGCTAGTTAGAAAGACCTAGAAGGCAAGGAAAGTTTTGTTTTTTTACTCATAATATATCTCAAGTGGAATGGATGTGAAGGATTTATGTAGCCTAGCCTGACTATATTTGGCATATTAAAGCTCATTCGATTGAATACCTAGTTGAGAAAAAAAAATGTTTAGTTGATTGATTCATTCAAAGTGTCAGAAATATAAGAAAATGTGCAAGTCTAGAATTGATTTTCTTGTAAAGATCAGGAGGTTAATCTTGTGAGGTTCCTAGCTTCCTCGTCCAGTGTTACAGAAGATAAGCGTGGGTGATTGCTGTTGCTCAATTTTGTCTTGCCCTCGATTTAAGTTTCTTAACATTTCTTTCTCCAAAAAAAAAAAAAAAAAAAGGAAGAAGAAGCTGATTTTAAACAAATTTATTTGTCATTCTTCAATTGATTCTTATTGACAAAGGGAGGCTATGCTTGGTTCAGGTGGGGCAGCAGTTTGTGCTTCAGTTCATTTGGGTGAGATCAGATCTGGTGGTCTTAGAGGCAACCACAGACACCACACATGCAATGAGACATTTGTTATTTGGGGAGCTAAGACAGTATTCCGGGTATGTTTTTTTCCTCTTAGTAATGTCAAAGCTGAAAGCTTTTACAGTTCTACCTATCTTAACATTGGTAAGTTACTATACAACTTTAAAGTTACTTTACAACCTTCCTTTTACTATGTTTATCAGTAGGGAAACATATTTTGCAGTTGCACATAATCCAGAAACATGCAGAAATTTGAAATGTTGGTTTTACACAAATCAATTGGATTCCTTTGTAGTCCCTGGAATGTGATGTATTTACCTGGGTGGAAGAGATCAGTATCTTGCTTAATAAATGCTTTTAGATGAAAGTGTGCATTGATTAGGAAGTAAATTTAGTACAAATGTGTCGACACAAACTGTCTGCCTGCACAGGCTCTTCAGGAATCTTATTGCTGTCACCTGTCCAGTGTACTTTTGTAGTTTTGCCATATTTTCAAATAAAGCAAACACTCTCAGACCTTGAACATTACATTGTATGCTAGAGTTTCATTCATAGACTTGTATGGTTTGGTGTATTTCTTGAATTCTACCCTAAACCACAATCAAGCTTTCTTGTCAAGTCCTTCAAAATCTTCAGTCTAGCAAAAATCCTCAACTTTTTTTGTTCCCAGTAAACCATAATTGTTTGCTCTTTGTAATTACATTTTTCAGTACCTAAGATATGTTTTGACGACCATGAGCATGGGTGATTGGCTTTATGTCTCAAATCCTTCCTTCCCTCTTTTCTATTTCCTTTATCCAATTTTTGGGGGTTCTCTACATTTATAGTCTCTCTTTACTCACCATTGTAGCAGGCATTCTGCTCATGCTTTGAAAGAGTTCTATGTTATTCAATTTTTGCAGCTAGCTCCTCTAAACCTTCCAAAGCATGAGTTGCCGCTTATTCGTTATTTTTGAATCAAATGAAAGGGAAATGAAGATTAAATAAACAATTATAGCGCTACCTGTCAAAAGAAAAACCAACTATAGCTATTAAATCATCTCGTCTATTACACTTCGCATAGAATTTTCTTTCTTATGGGTTAGGGTTGCAAGTTAATTATATAATATCAAGTCCTACTTTTGATTCACTAAGTTTTTACAGGTGGAAAATGATGCGGTAAAAAAAGGTTACGCGGAAGTAATAATTGGTGCAGATGAGGTTGCTGTTGCAGTCAGCCCCCTTGGAACTGCCCATGCTCTAGTAAATGTTGATCCGGTGCGAAGTACATACTTCATGGGGTGCCAGGATAGTGTAATCAACTACAATGGCTCAACGACTGATTTTAATGTATGGAAAGATCTATAGGTTTCCATTGTTATATTCTCATGGTTGCTCCAATAAGGCAACTGAAGTTTAATGCGTCTGCATCTAGCTGGTCCTTTTTCTTGCAGATGAGGGTTTTAAAGGGTGTGAATTAGTTTAGCTAGTGTAGATTAGGAAACAGTGTACATAAGGCATAGCCGCTATTCATTGGCCTTCTTTCGTTCTTTCCCTTTTGGTTTTTATGACAAAAAGATGTGAGCTCAGACATATCTCTACTGGATACAGCTTGCCTGTCCTACAGGCTTTACATATGAAAGCAGTATTTAAGCTCTTGAAATTTAGCAGATGTGCATGTTCAAAGATTTTGCTCGTTATCTTAGTTATAATTTTTGCATACTTCATTTGAAAGCCTTTTCCCCTTTGACTAATAGCTACACAAGTTAAATTCACTGTGTGTTATATGATACAAGGGTATGTGTAAGATGAAAGATTAACCTAACTTGTTGAGTATAATGGGACAAAGGCACTGTATAAGGATGATCTTGCAATCGGGTTAAATAGTTGGAAAATAATAATAAAGTGTGCTTTTGTTAGGGAAATTGATGGCGGATTATAATATTTATGAGTCAAGCAATATGCACTAGTAGGGAAATTCCATTTTTAGAATCTCAGAGTTTGAAACGTGCTTAAACTATCCAAAGTTTGATCCAGTAAAGCAGTGCGAATTCGAGCATTTTCAGTTAGATGAATCAAAAGCAGACCAAATCACAAAAAGGAAAAGGGGGAAAGAAGAAAATGAGTCACTTGATTCTTAGACAGAGACCGAGTCCAGGCTGTTTTGTGACCTTTGTATCTACTAACTGATGACCCTAAACTATATATGTCCTCATTGTCTAGACACATCGTTAACTGTGAAAAAAAAACTACCAAAACCATGTTCTCAGTGTCCAAACTGTTAACGTTACATACACGGATAGGGGGAGTACGCATCTACTGGAAATCACTCGAAGAAGTTACCAAGGCATTCTCCTGAACAAGGATGTTGAGAAAGAAGCATTACTAGCTGGTGAAATTTTCAATGACATTAAAAAAACACCATTCAGATAGGGCCTGAACTTGTTCTGCGGAGCTGATACTTCGGCTCTGGAGGTGGAACACTTGGTAAAATATCCTCCATCTCCTGTAGATAAAACCATATTTAATTAACTTAACTCGTGAAAACTGAAGGGAGCTAGGCAACTACTGAAAATTGTCAAGACACAACCCTGAGTACAAAAAAAACTTCATTTGAGGTTTGCCATGTCAGGAGCTTGTGATTTCTTCAAAAGCATTTGAAGGGGTAAACACAATCCAAATGAACAAAGAAAATAAAGGTTGGCATGGACAAGCAAAAGTCTTACCTACACATCTAACAAGTTTATGCAACTAATAATGAGTCTATTAGGGACCAAGCATTGAGGTTGATATTGAACTCCAAAGAGAAATTTTAACACACCCTTCTACTGATGATTGATGCCCTCGATGGGAAAGCACACTTAATTAGGTCCCTGCTAGCCCTCCCTCCCACAATCTGTGCCCCTGATTTCTTTTAATCCTCCCCTTGTTGAACATATACAGGAGTATGCAATAAAAAGATCTCTGTGAAAAAGAGCAATGAAGCAAGGATTTAAACAGCTACATAGTTAGGAAACTAACAATAACTGCAATCTAGAACCATATCCTTAAGAATGTAGCTGGACATATATTTCTTTTTTTTGATAGGCAAGTGTAGCTGGATATGTTGGCTGCAAAAAGTAGAACCTTCTGAATCTTTTAGCAGCCAATAGTGCTTTTCCTAGTCAACACTTCCACAGATAAATATCAGTCTTGCAGTTAGAGAACTACTAGGTGTCACCTGTCCATGTGCATCTATAGGTGCTTTTACTTTCTGATTCTTCCCACTCATTAGATATATTGTTAAACAGAAAAGTAGCTTAAAGCCTCATGGACTACAACAAAATAAAACAGAAAAGTAGCTTAAAGCCTCATGGACTACAACAAAATAAAACAGAAAAGCGAATGAGAAAACCATTTGTATGACAGAGAAGAAAAGAGTATTCATATGGGAAATTATGATCAAGGAGTACAGTGAAGATAGTTAAAGACCTTCTTTAGTCTACTCCTGTTCTCAATGGCCTTCCTATCATTTCAAATAGCTAATGGGCAATTCAATAAAATAATTACTTAACGGAACATTTATTAGAAGTTTAATGGAGATCTTTTTTCACACCTACAATAACTTTGACATACTTTCATCAGGATACAACAAATCACTTGTTAATATAAAGGCTCTGCTAATTGATTAATCATCTTAAGGGGAAAAATAAACAAAAGAAGGCATGAATCACCAACTGTACTTCCTTCTGATCGCATAAATGATTAATAACATTCATTGTGAAGGAAAATATCTTGTCCAATTAAAGATTTAGCCAATGAACTTAAAGAAGTACGTGTCACAGCATTCATAGACCAGATTCAGCTATAGTTTCTTCCACAGAGAAAGATTGATTATCACAACCAACATGGAACTAAAGAGAATGTGCAACTGTTTGAAGAAAATAATATCACTGAATTCATGCATGAATTATTTTGATTCGCAGATCCTACCTTTTGTCTCTTAAGTTTTTCATTCTCCTCTTCAAGAAATGAAACCTTGTTCTCTAGTTCATGGGTGTACGCCTGTTAGTCAGACGAGTAAAATTTCACTGGCGCAGAGATGAAAAACTATATCACAAAAAATGCAAAATAAGCAAAAGTACCTGCTTTCTTGCTCGTGACCGAGCTGCGGATTCCCTATTTTTAATCATCCTCTTCTGCCTCCTTTCTACACTATTTTCAGCCACATCATGTGGAGCAACTCGCTTTCTTCCAGATGTTTGTGTGTCTGATAGTGTTCCCATTATATGTGCTGGAGACATTGTCACTTGAGTTTCAGGATAAGTTGCATCCATAATTGGGTTAGCAACAACAGGTAAAGGCTGTTGTATTGGATGGCCTGGCATAAAAACTGGTGGTATATTCTGCTGTTGTTGTTGATGCTGCTGTTCTGGTACCTGTTGCATTGCGGGGATTTGATAGTGCGGCCACTGAGCTTGCTGTGTCAATGACATTGAATCAACCCCAAATACTAAACCCGAAATTCTCTTGCCTTGGGTCGACTCTGCAATCACTCCAGCCTTGACCAAGAAATCCTCCAGAGTTATCTCACCTAAAGTAAGTTGCCTCTCCTGGCTTCTCTTATCAACATTATCTGTTTTTACCCCCTGCTGAATATCTTGCCACACCTCATCGACAGTCTTCTTGCTGAGATCCCTGGACATTGTAATGCTCGATGGACGATGCTGAGAAGCCCCATGCTGCACTGCCCCGTAATCATTTCCCCCCACCACTTCTTGATTAGACTCGATAGTCCATACAGTTTTAACAAACTCGTCGAGGTTCATGCAATTGAGTGGTTTCCCACAATTCCCCAATTGATTCCGAACTTCATCAAGAGTGAGGCTGTAGAGTGATCCTTGCGTAGCTAAAGCATTTGCCTTTGCTTCATCTCCCCCCTGAGATCCCATCCCTTGTATTACCATTCACCACTATCAATATGTCCACGTTCTCAACTGATCAATCAACCAATACGGATATCAGCTCCTAAACCCTTAATTCACCTCACCAAAAACTAAAGTCTTAATCTTGAAATGCACAAAGCCCAATTAACCAATCCAGAAAACCCCTCTATTCACCACACTGAAATCTAAAGTCCTAATCTTGAAAATGTACAAAGCCCTGTGATTCACAACTAGCAACATCAGCCAATCCAGAAATCAATTTCAAACCCCTTTTTTATTTTTTTATTTACCACAGAAAAGAAAGTAAAGTTGTAATCTTGAAAATGTGCAAAGCCCAATGATTCACATTTGTTCAACGAGAATCCCACACAAAACAGAAAAGAGCAAAAATGAAAAAGAATCAAAACCATTTATATATCATAAAAGCCATGCAACAGAGATTCAAAGAAACAGCAACATATAAAAAAAGGGGGAAAACAGATCAATGGTAGAGAAGATCATACCATACCATACCATTAAACTGAGAAATGGAAGAATCAGTCAGAATCCATTAGCTTGCATGCAGCAACATTCACTGTAAGAGAACAAAAACCCAAAAACTGAAACTCAATCCATACAGAGAGTACTATTAATATATTAATATTCGAAGACCCAAAATTCTATGTATAAAAATGGATATCCAATATCATTACCAGAGAAGAAATAAAAATAAAATAAAATCTGCCCTTGGTTTTATCTACTACAGTGGTGTGCAATTTACCACTGACCCCCTTTTTCTTGTAAAGTTTCTGGCTTTATTTATGAGCTTCAGTTACACCTGAACATGCAACCTCTTTTGTCCTCTGTTTGGTCAGACACAGTTTTATAAACCAATTGACTGATTACTAGGTACTCAGCATTAAATAATGTAGTTTTAGTTTTGCGAAAATACCATGAATTTATGTGCATTAGCCTTTGGCCGGAAGTGATAAATAACCAGAAAATTTGGAAACTATAATATTTTTTTTATTTTAAAATAAACTGATTTTTTTTCCATTTTTTAGTTAGAATGTATTAAAGTTAAAAGGGTAAAAATATCATTCTGGCTAAAAAGATTTTTTCATATTAAAAATTCATTCATCACACTTTTATTAGTAGTTTAAAGTTGAAATTGTTAATTAATCAATGCACATATAAATATAAAATAGAAAGGCGGAGAATCTAAGAAGAGAAAAATTTATTTGCTTAAATTGGTATATATATAAGCAGGATGGTGAGACCGTGAATCCTATTTTGTTATATTGTGAATCAGTCACAAAATTATGATAAGAAGTATTTAGATATTAATATGAAATAGAACTCACTAAAGAAGTAAATAGAGAAAAAAAAAGAATTACATTTGTTAATATAAGGATACAATGAACATTTACAATTTGTTTAGATGATTAGTACATATTGTTTCATAATATATTAAATTGTGTTAATGAATATAATGTTTGAATATATAGTATCGTTATCTGTCATTACATAATATCACATATTCATAATTTGAATAATAAATCTATACAATAAAATTTGAATAACAATCAAAACAAATATTATATTTAAAACTAACAATACAATATAACAGATAAATGTCAAAAAAGTTAATTAGGAAAAGGGGAGGGGAGAATGACTATTTTTCACCGTTGATGATGTTTTTTTTTTTTTTTTATAGAGATAGCCAACAAACTATTAAAGAAAATTCAATTAATAGTACTAATAATAAATACATAATTTAATTATTTATATTCTACTTATATTTTTAATTTAATTAGTGCAAGGGCAAGAACTTGGCCTTCATCAGATTTGTTTGGTTTATCTTTTTTTTATCTCTTCCCATGTATGTATGTATCTTCTTCATCTTTTGGGTTGATCTCGACTTGTGTTTCTTCGTTTAACCTGCCGATTTTATCTCTTTTCTGTGCGATTTGCCGTCTTCGTTTGAACTAAATTTGGGGCTTTTTGGTTCTTTCGGGGATTTGTAACTTTGAGGTTTTGCGGTCTAAAATCACTGCTTTGATTGCTATAGGGTTGAACTGCCCTTGCAGTGAGTGCAAGTTTAGCTTATTAAGAGTTGCTACTCCTCCTCAAAGGAAACATGCAGGTGAGTGTATATGTTATTCTGTGTTTTTATAAACTTTTTTCAAGCCACAAAAATAACTGGTACAATTCTTTTTTTTTTTTTAAATTTTCTAAAAGAAAGGAGATGCTGGACCAATTGATCTGGACAAGACAACAACGACATTGGAACCTGATAAGACGAGCAGTGGGGGTCTTTTTGTTCCTGGGAAAGAGAGAGTAGTTTTTAAACCTTCAGAACGGAAATCACTTCTAGGTATGATTGATTGACCTATATCTTTGTGGTTTTGGCACTTTATTTATTTCCATCTATGGTTTTATATAATATAATAGAAATATTGCATAATTTCTGTTTGTCGAAAAGTTCAACATCACAAAAATTTGATCTTTCTATGAAAACAAGTTTATTCTTTTGATGCTTTACATATTTATCTGAGAAAACACACAAACTTAACTAGGATGACTCCTAACTAGTATGTAAACATACTGCCCATTCCTTTCTCTCTCGAACAAATTGAAGGACCATCTGCAGACTAACGAGGAAATATGATCCATGCTATCTTATGACCTTAGATTATCAACCTCTCTCTCTATCTATCAATGATAGATTTTCTTTTCAAAAATTTGCTACTTCTTTTGGGTAGCTGAAAAGGGACAAGGCCGTAACGTGACAAACCTATAAAAAAAAGGGAATAGAATGACCTTAATAATTTTGCGGAAAAAATGAATCAGAATTTTGCACTGAAATAACAAGAAAGAAGAAGTAAATGAGGCTGCACCTTGTGACACCTCATATACAATGATTGTGATGTGCATCATCCTTCCACACTTTCTTAATTTGTTTATTTCTGCATACCTACACATATTTTTTTTCAAGCCTTGGATTCTCGGAGGCCCCACCCTGAACATAAGCCATTTACAGGATTTCCGTTATTTGTATGTTGGGTTCTTGTACAGAATGTGCTTGTATCCTAGATTAATTGTTTGTATAGTATTCAAAAGCTTTATATAGACATTCCTATTTTAACCGAGTAAAAATTAGATACAAGTTCCTTCTTCTTGCAAGATGTATGCTTTTCCATGAGAACAATAACAACTAGCCTCAGTCCCAAATAAGTTGGGGCTGGCTATGTGACTCCTCAGTGACCATGTTACTTCATTTAAACTCATCATGAGAAAGTTCTTGAAAAATAATTATTTAGGTCTATCTGAATCTTTTCTTTGTTAGGTGACATATGAGACATGCAGGTACTAAGATTTCTTTCAAGGAACGAGTAGTATAAGAATTAAGAACACTATATTGTAATAGTTTCATCTGCTTCTTTTCAAATTATGTGCTTAGACTATCGACGCATGTATTAGTTCCATTGCCATATTGAGTTATAAACTTTGACTATGCCCCCTTCTCGATAAGTGTGAGGTAAAATGAAATTGTTTAGTGATTTATATCTTTATCAACTTTTCACAATTGGATAGGGCTTGATGCCTTGGCGATTGCTAAAAGGGGAGGGGCTACTGTAGAGAGTGAATTTAAAGTTCCAAGGGAGAGACTTGCTTCATTTGCGTCATCTTTAGATGAGGATGAAGAGTCATCTGCTGCTTCTGGAATTGATGAGTTGGGACATACTGCATCTAATGTTTCACGGAATAATGTACAGAGGAGGTATCGTGAATCTTATGCTAGTGAGACATCTGTTTCAGGTACCAGTTTCTTAACACTTTTTTCTTTTTACATTAGAGGATTCATTAGTTTAGTCAACTCCAACTTCATCAAAAAAACTCTGATGTTGTGATTACTTGTGATATTTGTTGGTCTCTGCTGCCTGCATTTTAACTCAACGTATGAGTAGTATAACCCCTTCAGTCTGCATCTTACTACACTGCTACATATGAAAAGAACTAAGAAATTAACCATCCTCTTTATATCTTGCGCATTTTCATTTTTTACACCAAAGGATCAAGTGAGTTAAACATCTATTCTTAAAGGTACAAATATTTCCTTTTTGCCTGCAAAGTATCTTTGATTTCTCCCCTTCGTCACAGTCCACCATATAGTGCCGGTATAGTGTTCCTTTTTATCTTCTTTTCCGCTGTCCTCTTTTATTCCAACAAAGTAGTAGGTCTTTAGGAGATTATGGTATGCTTTGAATGTGCTGGCGACCTCAACAGAAAAAATAATTTTTTAGAAGAAGTTGCCGGAAAGAGTGATGCGTTGCCGGTGTCGGAAGTTCTAGTGGTGCATGATGATGTGTCGGAGGTGGTTTCCGGCAGTGTCTGGTTGGGGTCTGCTCGCCGTACCTTGTGGTAGTGTTAATTTTTCTATAGCACTAATAGATAATTATTTAGACGCGGACAGGTTTATGTGATGAGAAAACTCAACCTCTTCTTGTGAAAAAAAAGAACCCTAGTGCTGCAGTGCTATGAGGGAGAAGACTTACCTCCAAAGGCAGCAACAACTCTAATACCATGAAGATGTCAAGAAGAAAAAGTTTCTTTGTATTTTTTGATGAATTTACAATCCATGAGTATGGGTACTTATACAATGAGTCCTAGGACTAAATAAGGCAATATTATACAATCAATTACACTCAACCACAATATCAATCTACTCTTATGATTAAGCTAGGAAATTGGTAATTAATCAACCTTTATTTTCTAGGTAGTGCAGTAACCTATGAACGGGAAGATGCTGAGACAGTCGTGAGGCCTCACTTGAATGAGAACACAGAGGTACATTGCTTATTAGTACTCTTGCTTTGACATATTTCTATGTTATTTTCTATAAGTTTTGAAGCTTGACATTGTTGAATTGCTTTTTCTATAGTACCTTCAGTGAATCTTAGAAGTTTCTAGATTCCTGTCTTTTTTTGTGTGTTTCAAATTTTTGACCAATATAGAGAGAGGAGTTCTGTGGGGTTTAATTCTTCCTCTTACCGTTTGATGTCTTTGCATATTGCATCGAGAAGAACAACTTCAGTGAGATGATAGAAGGCTACATTCTGAACTAGAAACTTTGAGGAGCTGGTACCTTAACCAGCTGGAGTCTAAGCATGATTGTAGATTCCCTTCCTTTTTTTGTGTGTTTCAGTTTTGACCAATATAGGGAAACTTTGAGGAGCTGGTACCTTTATTAGCTGGAGTCTAAGCTTGATATTCAGCAATACGCTGACTTACTATGAAGCAAATCTGAATACATTGTCCCTCTTCTGTACAGTGGAATATTATTGTTAATTATCGAAGTAGTATAAAGTTGTCCTTTTTTTACTTATCATAAAGTTGCCCAAAGCTATTTTACAAAATACATATGAATGCACATTTATAGGTCATCCATCTTTGTAGTTCAATATAATGAAATAACAAATGCATAGAGGTAAATGGTTGCAAATTACCAACCATTCTTTACGATGAGGAATTTATTAATAAAGTACAGCATTGAGTTTCATCAGAGCGTCTCGTATGCAAGATGAAGCTGTAATGTTACTGATTGAGTCATTTGAAGTTCGTTTCACTGTTTTACTCTTCTTCTGTTCCTCTCGTTTCCATTAAAGTTAGTCAGGTTCTCCTGCTTGAGATTTTGGGTCTGAAATCTGTGTATGACTTGTTGGAAACTCATTCCTCAGTGCATGTGTCCTGCTACTTTAGTGTTTACTGGTAAATTCCATCAGATGCTTTAGTTTCTTGCCTTAAGTGGATGGACTATTGTGTTCTGTAACGAACTCAACCTGTTGCTTCATTTCTGGTTCAAG